TCATTTACAACGGTTTGTGCTAATTTAGAAAAAGAACAGAGCATCGTTAATCTGAACAAAAATCACTACACCCTGTATAATTTCAATAATAAACTTCATAAATGAAAGTTTAAGTAATAAATGAATAACTAAATTTAAGTTATCCATTACAACTGAATAAACAAGTAGTTTGAATACATGCAAGGTGTTTTACAACAAAAACAAAACAACATTCATATCGACATGATCAATGTCATGTTAAACACGATTGTTGCTTCTTCTTACCTAGTAACGGGTGCTGTTTGGTGCAGCTCTGCTGCGTGTTGCCCGGTGGCGTGGATGTGCCCGGTGGTGTAGATGTACTCGGTGGTGTAGATGTACTCGGAGCTGGTGTGGTCGGGAAGGGTCAGAAGCAGGGAGGATTGGACAGTCAAAAGCAGAATCTGGCGAACCTTCATGTTCAGTGGGACTTTCTGCATCAAAATAAGAGTGGAAAAACAGCAACAGAGTACAGTTAGCAATGATGCTAACTAATGACAACGTAACCGCGTCAGCTTCGTTTGTTCAGAGTACTTTCAGAAAACGCAAAGAAACGGTTGCATGAGGAAAAGGAAATATGCTTAAAGTAAATAAAATACACTCACCATCAACTATTAGTTTTTTAAGCTTTCCTCTTTGCTTTGGTGTGCGATGGAAGCCCTGCACCGCCATCTGCGCAGACACCTCTAGAAAAATCTTTTCATTTCGTTTCGTTCCATCTAGCTCGCGCTGCACTTGTTCATCGGCCAGCAAACAGAGAAATGCCTGAACTTCAGCATTCGACCACGGTTGTGCCATGATTATTTGTTTTACCTTATAAAATATTCCAAAATAAGCTCCTCCGATTTCTTGTTGTCTGTTATGCGGGTGAAAAAGAAAATGGTGGATTGTGATTTCCGGTGGAAGACTGAATCTCCGCCCTCCACCAATGAATACGCCCCCTGACCAATCAGTGACCTACAGTGCGCTGATGTCACAACTAGACCCTAAAAGAACCAGACCTGGGACCTCAGTGATTTAGGTCCCAAAAATGGGGTGGGTTCCACCACTAGAGGCATTGTTGATAAAACCCGCAATCGGCCACAACTAGTTACATAGGAGTACCAAAAAGACCCGTGGATAAGGGGCTCAAGTGTATCCACACTTTTTCAGCCTGCGAGCTACTTATAAAAAGACCAAGTCATGGTGATCTACCCACTATAAAAATACAAAACATATACCGATACTTATTTGCTGCGTCAATCATGTCTGTAGACTCTTCCGATTGCAGTGAAAAACATTCGCAGTTCACAATATCCTTCCAAAGTTGCTGGGTCAAATCTTCCTTAACCTTTTTTGTTTCTCAGCTCGCTTTTCAGAATGAAGTCAGTGTCGTAGTTTTTATAAATGGTCCAAAATGCTGCTCCACATTTCCCTTTTTCGGAATAGTAATGGTAGACTTGCAGATGAGGCAGACGCATTTTAAATATGGAATTGTGAAGAAAAAAAAGTCCTTCATCCATTCTGTACAGAAATGGTAATTTATGGCTTCTTATTGGGTCCAGCTCCCCCACTCACTTTATACCCTTGAGTTTAGAAGAAATAAACTGGAGGCTAATTACGCAACTCTGTAGCTTGCTAGTTTTTTTAACGGTTTTATGCGCATGCGTGGCGACCTGTGTCAGAAAAGGTCCGGTCTCAGACTGGATGCCCTGTAGCTTAGTCAAGTGACACATTTGACTGTGAGGATGGATGATAGGCTGACGTCTATTATTTTTAACACTGTATGATCTGCCTATAATACTTTTGCGATCGACCGGTCGATCGTGATTGACGTATTGGGCACCCCATAGTAGACTTGTTTTATCAAAAAACACAAAAAACAACTAGAGCTTTAAACTGAGTACAATCAAAAATGTTTACAGAATAAAATGCAATGATGCAATCTAGATTCTTAAAGTCAACATCCATCATATATCATTGGAAAAAAGCTTGAACGTTTTTAAAATTTATTTCCCTGGAGGATTTTTGAATGTAGTTGATTGTTTTTGTCCTTGTCTTTTGTGCATCAGTTTAGGTATCGGATCGTTTCTTTATAGATAACTTGGGACCAGTCTGCCCAGTCCTGAAAGTTCAGTGTTTAATTTACTTCAGTTCTCTTTAATTCAAAGTGTTGAATGCTAAACTTCTTTATGTGTTGAAAATGACAGATAACTGTATATTTGTGTGAAGTTCACCCTGCCAACCAGAGAGAAGCTGTTTATTGACACATCAACACATCTAGGGGGTGTTGTACCTCCAACTGTGCACCACACAATAAAAACTTTGGATTTTCCCAAAGACACTCGATTTTGAACTTCCATTATAATGAATCATATTGTGCTTTTATATCTGGCAGTTTTTAGTCTTTTTGTAATTATGAAGTACTTAAAGTGTATTTGTTGTTGTTGTTCTGTTTTTTTGTTGTTGTTTGTTTTTGTTTTACCCTTTGTAAAATGTTCTGAAACTCACTCAGAGGTGGGATTTATGTTATGCAAGTCACTCAAAACATGAAAATCATTTCTGAGCAGGGAATAGGTTCAGAAGCTGAAGGGTCTAGTCTGACAGTAAATTATTTACCATATGTTGATACAAGTTAATCCAGCCCTAAAACTGGTATGTTTCACAAAATTAATATCATCTTCTCCTTTAAGACTTGAACTGAGTCATAAAATCCATGAACCCATTCAGTCTACTTTCAGAAACGTTAATGTATTTTTATGTACAGTTTGTACTGTACTTCTAGAGTACATCTTTGCTCTCTGGCTTTTAAAATGAACAGAAATCCTAAAATTTTATTTTATCTGTTTTCCGTTATGAATGGGAAACGTGTAGGAACTTGAGTTCTGTCAGATAATAGTTTTTATCGTTTAAGTGTTTCTGTAGACTGCCACTTTAGCCATTAATACAAGTATGTGAGTATTTAATCTGGTTGTGTACCATAACATGAAAGTTACATAGATCTCATAAACAAATATTGTTTTGTTAATATTTTTATCTTGTTCATTCTGATGTTGTTTTAGGACAGATTCATGTTGTCTGTTTTAACACAACTCAACATTTATATGAAGTACATTTTTATATTTGTGTATGTATGAATGTGTTAGGGGTGGGACAGTTCACAAAGTTTTTAGTCACAATTTGTTTTGTAAACATTTCTGAAGTTCTATCCATCAGAGACCGCTAATTCACCATTTAGACTTTGTGTAAAACATTTATTAAACTTTATTTAACCAGGCAGATCCTGTTGATCACAGATCTATTTCAAGGGAGGCCACTTTAAATCCATTTTTATTTTTTAAATTGTATATTAATGTAGTAACTGAAGACATGAAACAGTCCAGCACATCATTATGACAGTATAAATGGTAGATTTAACTATAGATGGTTAAATCTAGATAGGAAAGAGGAAGATGCTTAGGGGAGTGGTGGCGCAGATGTTAAGAGTAGGTAGGCCTGTGATCGGAAGGTCGCTGCTTCAACTCCCTAGATCAACAACATCAAAATGTTGGTGGGAAAGATGAAACACCCACACCTGCCTCTATCCTCGTTTGCCCCACTCTGGGCCCTTGAGCAAGCCACGTAACCCCGACCATCTGCTTCCCCGGGTGCCCTAGATGCAACTCGCCGCTCCACACGGGGCTGTGGTAGCTCAGTAGTCTGTGGTTGTGTCAGGAAGGACATCCTGCATAAAACTATTGCGAGTTAGTTAACTGTGGCGACCCCTGAAGAAGGGAGCAGCTGAAAGAAGAAGAAAGATGCTTATTTATGTTATACAAATATTTATAAATTCAGATATATTTTGTGAGATCTTAAGTTTTTTTTAATGCCACTAAAATACTAAACTACTCCCAATATTGTATGTTAGTCTGTTTTTGATTTCTACTTCCACTCTTCTTATCTGTGTCCTGTTACTGCCTTTAACCAAACGATACACACGTCCTGAACTGAGATGGCCGACCCGAACAGTTCTGGTCTTCTTCGTGAACCCGTCCACTCCTAGTCAGCCTTCAGAGTAGAAGGCTAGAGTCGTTTCCAACATCAACACATAGATGTTCAGTGTGGTGAAAGCAGACTGAACGCTGATCACTGATGAAACTCTCACCAGCGTCACAGACATGGAAAGAGTTCTGAAATCATAATCGGCAGCTGCTGTTTTCCCTACCATTAAACAAGGAGGGCGCCCCACCTGGTCTACACAACCGAGCGCCCTGCCTACCGAACCAAACTGTGCCCCCCCCGGCACTGACATAGTGCCAAGTTAGCGGCGTGCAATACAGATGCGCTAGCTCAAAAGCTACAGATGTAGCGCTCTGTTTCCCTTAGGCTGAGCCGTTTCCTTCTTAGATGTTTTTGTGCTGTGGGTGTGAACTCTGGGCTGTAAGGACTTCACAATAATGTTGTTAGGACTTTGTTGTAGTTTATGCAGTGATGCAGTTAGATATAAGTTTCTCATTCATCTAGCTTTTTCTGGGTAAGAGCACTTACATTTGTGTTGCATTCAACAAAGTGTACTTTAAAGATTTCTAACATCTTGTGCGGTTTAGTTGATTTAGTTTGTAGAATACTCACTGGTTACTTGGATGGATCAAGAGATCAGCAGCAGGTACAGTTTGGGTGGGGTGGGGGGCTTACGATCTGGATCTGAGATGTAAAATAAATTTGAAGCTGAGTTTTTGAAGTTTCAGTGACTTTGTATGTGAATCTCAAAATGTGTAATTTACAGAAAATCCTGGAGACTTGACATGTATGACAATGAAACTAGCTTTTTTCTACATTCAGCGATGGCAAAAATGGGAAGGATTTTTTAAAAATAGTTTTGTCAGTCAGTGTAGGTGGCGAAGGACACAAGTATGTGGTGAAATTGCCACCCGCCGCTTGTTGTTGAGAAGGCAGTCTGGTTAGTGTGTAAAGACTGGTTGTATGACATAAGTGACTAAAAACATCTGTCCTCTCTCCGTCAGCTGTTCCTTATCGACTTTGGTTTGGCAAAGAAGTACAGAGACAACCGAACGCGACAACACATCCCTTACAGAGAAGACAAGAACCTGACCGGCACCGCACGCTACGCGTCCATCAACGCACATCTGGGCATAGAACAAAGGTTTGTGTGGCAATACCTGGTGTGTGCTGCCTTTTTTACAGGCAGCATATTTTAATTCAGTCTCTGACAAGATGGGAGACTTCTGCTTTGTTAGAACATCAACAAACACGTTTTACACAGTACACAACAACACACAGTCCACTGAGTTATTACCTGGATGTCACGTCGGCCTCACTCAGGAAAATTAAACAGTTAACAGCGTTTCATTAAACTGTTGATCAAAAATGTCACCAAGCTCATTTAATAATGATCAATATCTTTACCGTAAGAAATTAAGTTGATGCTTTTTGAATATTTTCATCTCCAGCCGTCGTGATGACATGGAGTCACTAGGCTACGTGCTGATGTACTTCAACAGAACAAGTCTGCCATGGCAGGGACTAAAGGTATGTCAATAAACTGACTGCTGTATTTTTACATGTTAACATTTTCCCATCAGTCCCACAGAGCAAAGCAGTGTTTTCCCTAGTTAGCTTGCCATGGCAGGGTGCTCATCTCATCCATGATTTTTGCTGATGGGGGGACGGAGACATGTCTGAGCGCAGCTTGTTCTAACAGTTTTTGAGCGGGGGCGGTGGGCATTCAACATGAGGGAAGAGGCAATGTGAGTGCTGCCTTGGGCTTTTTAGCTAGAGAGCCTGTATTTTGTGCCGCTACCTTAGTGATATGTCAGTGCCGGGTGGGAGGGGCAAGTTCAGTTTGGTAGGCGAGGTGCTCAGTTCTGTTGACGGGGTGGGGCACCCCGCCTGTATAATGGTAGGGGAAACACTGCAAAGATTCTGTCTAACTTAAGTCCGTCACTGGAGAAGTTTATAAATCGTTGTTTAAAAACATGAACAATGTTCAGAGATAGTTGGAGAAAACCTGTTCCACATCAGATTAACTGTCTCTGACTAGCAACAAACCATCATCTGAAATGTTTTTTATACCATAACAATGTTTCACCTCCCGGGAGGTTCTCTGGGCTGACGTGGCACATCAATGTCAAACTACTTCGGGTCTAGTTTTGTTTTTTAAAACTTTGCCACTTATATTATTAACTTTGCACAAGCGTACCTTGTAGCCCCAAACCAAACTCCCCGCAGGTGCAGTAAAGTTCACTTGATTGGATTTGATTAACTTCATCCTCATGAAACGAGTGCATCAGTCTGTCTGAGCACCTTCAGGCTGGTTAGCATTTAGCAAGAGAACAGAACTTTGTAAGGAAACGTGGTGTGATTGGCTCATAGAGGTGTTCAGCTCAACTCCAACCACGCCCGGTACCACGCCTTTTGGGTCTGGGATGTTAACCTATAGACTTCTGTTGCAGTGGCTTCTTGTAAACATTTGTTTGTTTGTTTACTGATTAATTTTCTGTGTGTTTTGGTCAGGCTGCTACAAAGAAGCAGAAGTATGAGAAGATCTCAGAAAAAAAGATGTCCACCCCCGTTGAGGTCCTTTGTAAGGTATCCTGCTCCTTTCACTTCCACTAGCTTCAAACGTGTCAAACAGCTACAGCAGAATCAAAGGTCTGTCTTAGTTTTACACAAACGAGATGTTTGCTTCAGGGTGAAGTACCCAGGCCCGTTCAGACCTCTGGAGTCCTTCTCTGGAGTGCTTCTGCAAGTCTTCAGTGCAGGTTTCCATAGAAAGCATCTGAATGTACTGAACATCAAAAACTAGCTTTCAATTCAGTTTATTTATATAGATCTACGTCACAACAGAATTCATCTCAGGGCACTGAACAGAAACATTCACACACATTATAAATGAGTTGGTAAGAATTATCTTATCTAAAGAAGGAGCAGATTCGTTTTGTCTAACCCAGATCTGTCAATCATAAACTTTATATACACGCAGCTCGATCACTCTGTCGGTCGCACCTTGCCCCCAGCTTGTTTTTTGTTGTTGTTTGTTTGTTTCTATTCTCAACAGGTTGACTTAGTGTGTGTCTGGAGTGTCAAAGTTTTCAGATGCATTTTACAATTCTTCACAGGTCAAAACTCTTGGAAGGGACAGTACAAAGTACCATTAGACTGGTCTCCATGTTTTGTTTGATCAGGTCACAGTTGGTTGCTTTAAGTTGATAAATGGTGAACTGAGTCCGGTTCTGTGGTGTCTGCAGAGTTTCCCCGCTGAGTTTGCGATGTATCTGAACTACTGTCGTGGTTTGCGCTTCGAGGAGGCTCCAGACTACATGTACCTGCGCCAACTGTTCCGCATTCTCTTCAGGTAACCAGAAACAAACGTCCAGTTTAATTAACGTCTGCTGCTGCTAAATGATTTACTGTCATCATGTAAAAGTCTCAGGTCCTCAGCTGAGGCCTGCTGTTTTCTGCTGATTGTCTCCAATCTGTCAGAGACTTGTTTAATTTAATTAATGTGAATGTGATGTGATTAATTCTCAGTTTATGGTTTGTCTCTAATGCAGCTGAACTATGATGTCCATCTGTTCTAACCAATTTCGCTGCTCGTTGCTCCAACCCTGGTCCTCATCCAATAAATATAAACAGACATTCACACGTTTGCAGCATTTGTATAGTCTGGAGTAAACAAAATGTCATTTGAGTATTTTCCAGGTCTGGATAAGCTACAAAAAATAAATCATTTCTAGAAGTTGTCTGTTAGCAAACTAATTTAGTCCCTATAATGTCCATAAATACCTCTGAGGTTGGACACGGGTTAGTCTTTGTTGGGAGGTAACTCAGCTGGCTTTAAAAGCATCAATCATTTAAATCCATGTAGAACAATAAACGTAAACATTTAGAAAATGAAACTTTCAATAGGAAGTTGTAGTTTGTAATTGTGGAGCTGTCTGTGCTTTGTGTTGCAGGACTCTAAACCACCAGTATGACTACACATTTGACTGGACCATGCTGAAACAGAAAGCAGCTCAGCAGGGAGCCTCTTCAGGGGGCCAGGGCCAGCAGGCACAAACCCCCACAGGCAAGCAAAATGACAAACCCAAGCCTAACATGAAAGGTTAGTAGCAAACAGCCAAGTGACGTTTGTTGCAGACACCAATTGCTCATCTTCATTCAGCCCCAGAACACGATCAGTGTCAAACAAATGCACTGCCTGGCCCAAAAAAAGTCACAGAGTTCCGTTTTGTTGAATCCATGGCCATCTTTGAGTTCGCTCAAGTTTCAAGGCAGCTTGTTGTTTTCTCCACACCTGGACGCATTGCAGGTGGAGTGTGAAGCCTCTGACGATCAGAACCTGATCAACTCTGACTGGGCCGTCAGGGAGGATAAAAATATTCAGTCCATAACAGACCTGAGTCTTTGGCTCCCAGTATGATCTAAGGAAGTCCAGATGAGCACACTGACAGGGGGCACCCCGGTTGACACTCAAGTCCCCTCAGAAATTTAGCTCAGAAGCTACAGAAAGTAGAACAGCTTAACACAGATTAGTAGTTTCAACCATCTTGGAGTAAACCAAGCTTTTTTGAGCAGCGTGGTGGAGCAGCTCACAGCTTCTCCTCCAGATGTTCTGTTTGGATGTTCTCTGAGGGTTTTCTCTGGGACCTCCAGGTTACTCCCACAGACTGAAAACATGATGTTAGTAACTCTGAGGTGTCTTCTCGGTGTGAGAGAGTGTCTTGAGACATGTCTAGGATGTCCCCCACCCCTCACTGCTGGAGACGAACTGCAGCTCTGAGCAGAATAGTGAATAAAATCAAACAGGAAGCTGTGTGAACAAACAGGAAGCAGTATGAACCAACAGGAAGCTGTTTAAACAAACAAAAAGCTGTTTAAACAAACAGGAAGCTGTTCTGTGACGAGCGGTATGAACCAACAGGAAGCTGTTTAAACAAACAGGAAGCAGTATGAACAAACAGGAAACTGTATAAACAAACAGAAAGCTGTTTAAACAAACAGGAAGCTGTATGAACAAACGGCAAGCTGTTTAAACAAACAGGAAGCTGTTCTGTGATGAGCAGTATGAACAAACAGCAAGCTGTTTAAACAAACGGGAAGCAGTATGAACAAACAGGAAACAGTATGAACAAACAGGAAACGGTATGAACCAACAGGAAGCTGTTTAAACAAACAGGAAGCTGTTCTGTGACAAGTAAGGGTTGAACAAGTATATAATTTTTAAACTCTACATTAACACAATAAAACCCGAGTAGATCTCGAGTATTTGATGACGTCATAGATCTCAAGATACAAAAATAAATAAAACCGCAAAAAAAAGGTAATTATTTACAAGAAAAAGCCCAACAAAACATTGGGAGCGTATATTATGCTCCTACCATTTAGCATACTGCAAATAAGTCACAGGAAAAACTAGACTATTAGTTATTATTATTAAACTGCAAATGTGAATAAACATGCTGAACGTCAAAAACAAATCTTATTTATTTATTTATTTATTTATTTATTTCATTCATTTCAGTTCCATTAAAAAAACACACAAATACAATTTAGATAATTAAAAAAAAATAAACATAAAATGAAAGGAAGCAGAAGAAGAAAAAAATT